ACCGCTGCCAGTGATTGAGTTTGATTCCACTAAAAAAAATTGATTGCTAGCTGAAATCCTGCTGTTAGAAATGCTGCAGCGGCTGAGAGAGAGAGGGAGGAAGACAAAGAAAAAAACAGACAAAGAGAGAGATGCAGGGAGAGAGAGACAAGGAGGATGGATGATGGAGAGATGGAGTGGTTTGAGGGGGTGGAGGAGTGGAGGAGTCTGTTTTCACTCTAATCTGTTTACTTTGCAATTTGTGTTTTCAGAGCGAGTCCATTCATTCTGCTTAACCTGACACTTCACTCACCGACAGGAAGAGAGTGTGTGTGTGTGTGTTATGTGTTGTGTGAGCAGGGGAGAGAGATGGAGGGAGAATCTCATTTAAACCTCTCTTTTATTGATCTTGTGTGTTGCCTGCAATCCCTATAATATGAATGACTGTGTGTGTTTGGTGTGGTTGTTGTGAGAGAGAGAGAGCACGAGAGAGGGAGAGAGGGAGAGAGAGACGCTCATTTACCGTCCTTGGTCGTATTGTAATTGTGGTGTTTATTCATTTTGTTGTGTGTGTGTGTGTGTCGTAGCAGATATTCATTTGAGTCTTGTCTTATTGTAATTGCATGCACTCGTGTGTGTGTGTTTTAAACCTGCAATGTGTTTGTAAAGTGTGTGTGTCATGTGAAGCGTCCATTTTAGCAGAGCAGGGTCTGACTGTAATTAATTCACCCAGTGAAGCCATTAGCATGAAAGCAACCAAACGGGCCCTTCCTATTATCTTTCTGTGTCTGATGCTCTCCTGCCCCGAAATCACTCACTCATTCACTGTAATAGGAATTCCTGTGTAGCAGACTATATGGTTGTTATGTATTTATATTCAATTCAATTTTATTTGTATAGCGCCAATTCATAACAGAAGTTATCTCAGGACACTTTTCAAATAGAGCAGGTCTAGACCGAACTCCTTTTAACATTTACAGAGACCCAACAGTACCACCATGAGCAAAAATTGAAAACAAAAGTTAAAGACAAAATAAAAAAACTAATGAAAAATGATAACTATAATAACTCTAAGCAACTAATCTAACATCTAACTGCTGGCTTGTCAGGTTCTTTTTGTAGCCGAACATAATTTGAAGCATCTTAAGATATGAATGAGGATAGTGATAATGACTTGTTACCATTGCATCTATTTACAAAATGGTGAAAACATAAAAAACAAGATGGTTGAAAATTTGGAGCTGGTGATCCTCTCTTTCCTCCATCCAAAACTCTACCAGTTCACCAGCTGACTGTGTTAAGAGGTGACCTGCCTTATGTCTAAAACCCGCCACTGGAGATTTGACTAGATGAGTTGTAGGCAACCTCATCAGCCAGCTTGAGTAGAGCTGAGACAACAACGATTTGGTCTAAAATGGTCATTAATCATTCAAATGAGTTATTGATCAGAACATGGATCTTCAATCTTGGTGGTATTTTTCCTGCTTCCTCTTAAACATTTGTAGGATCATTCTAATGTTCCCTCATTTCTGAAAGAGAACACACTGATGTTACTAGAACCACTTATGTAGTTAATGTCTTTAGACAAGTGTTTGACATGGGTTAAATTTATTATATATATTGACAACAAAGCATATCTGCCTGATTTTGTGTATCTGCCCATTTATCACATAAATTGTGATAGAGAAACTGTGTAGATGAAGTAAATGATACCCAACATGGTGTTACAACACTGTTTGCTCTGTACTCTGGAGATCTTCTCATTTCTGACCAGGGACTGCAGATGATGATTAGACTTTGATCTGCCGAACAGATCAATAAACATGAGTTAACAAATGAATAAATCAGAGCATAGTCACTGGATTTTGTCCCTCCTTTGGCTTTCAGAGCGAACACGGGACTGAGCTGTTTGAGACACTGGGGCTGGAGGGAGAAATCAAGCTGGCTATAGAGAAGCTGGCAGAGTGGGCGGCTCCTCGGCCAGTGGAGAAGAACCTCCTCACCATAACAGATGAGGTTTATGTGCAGCCCGAGCCTCTGGGAGTGGTTCTCATCATAGGGGCCTGGAACTACCCCTGGGCCGTCACCCTCCAGCCGCTGGTTGGAGCTATCGCTGCTGGTACCACATATACTCATACACAACCTAATGTACTGGTGCTATTAAAGCAGTCCAACACCAAAGCAACACCAGAGACTCAGAAACAATTATAAGCCCCTTTCAGACATGTCTGTAAAGTGCCCTAGTCACTTTGATGGATAAATCACGATGGCAGTCCTTCTATAAAGACCTGTAACGCTTCTCTTCCAATACAGCACAAGACTAGACTGAATGCTGTCAGATTAAAGAGACAGTTCACCCCAAAATCCATATGTTTCCTCCTACCTGTAGTGCTGTTTATTCAACCAGATTGCTTTGATGTAAGTTGATGCGTTTGAGACATGTCTGCCATCTCTCTAATATAATGGAACCAGATGGCACTCAGCTCATGGTGCTCAAAGCGCCAAAAAAAGGTCTCTATCGAGAAATCATGACCCGGTCACTCAAGATAATCCACAGACCTTGTTGGGGCCAATTTCTAGTAGTAATTATTTTGTTTTTACCGAACTACACCTGCGAACCGTAGCTGAATGTTAGCTATCTCAGTGGTGCTAGGTGAGCTAGCTAACGTTACTGCTCAGTCAAGGAAGATGCCGATAAAGGTCCAGTGTGTAACATTTACCAGGATCTATTGTCAGAAATGGAATATAATATTCATAGGTATGTTTCCATTAGTGTAAATCAGTTGAATATAAGAATCATTGTGTTTTGTTTTTTTTACCTTACAATAAGACAATTTTATCTATAGAGATACTCTACGAAGTCTGCCATGTTGAATCGCTGCCATGTTTCTACAGCCCAGAATGGACAACCCAAACACTGGCCTTTCTTGTTTTTCACAAGTTTCACTCCCACCACTCCCTTACCTTCTCCTACACACTTGATGGGAATGCGGCATGCAGATAGTTGCAATCTGCAGTTTCGCCGCTAGATGTCACTAAATCCTACATCTTAGCTAAATCAAATTTAGGTGGAAAAACCAACTTGTAGAATTTCATTCTTTAAAATCACAAAATAATTACTGACCATTACAGATTGATAACAGCTTCAGGGATTTGCCTCTCATTCAACTTTCAGGTAATGCAGCAGTAATAAAGCCATCTGAGGTCAGCTCTCATTCTGCCAAGGTCATGGAGGAGCTTCTCCCTCAGTATCTAGACAAGGTGAGCCTCCAACTGTGTTCGATGTGATACCTTCATCTACATTCATTGTGGATGTACACTGAGTTTTAATGACTGCCTATACTCTCTGCAGGATCTGTACCCAGTGGTGACAGGTGGAGTGTCCGAGACCCAGGAGCTGCTGAAGCAAAGATTTGACCACATTTTCTACACAGGAAGCAGCGTAGTGGGTAAACTGGTGATGGAAGCTGCAGCTCGCCACCTCACCCCAGTGACCCTGGAGCTGGGCGGGAAGAGCCCCTGCTACATTGACAAAAACTGTGATATCACTGTCGCGTGTCGGTCAGTCCGAACTGTAAAGTGTAGCAGAGTGTAACGTTCTGCCATTATGTGAGCTCCGTTGAAGCCTCAAATATCCCCAAAACACAGCAGTTGTTAACAAATACAACACAGTATGCTGGAAAAATGATTGTTTTCTCCCAATACAGTCGCATCACATGGGGAAAGTTTGTCAACTGTGGTCAGACGTGCATCGCTCCAGACTATGTCCTGTGTGAACCCTCCGTCCAGAGCCGAGTAGTAGAAGAGATCAACAAGAGCATCAAGGTGGGTCTAAAATGAAGATTTATTTTACTATGTCAGTTACTGCTTACGCACTAGAACAATAATGTAGTCATTATATTGTTTGGTGTATTTCCCATATTTGAACAATAGCAACCATAGCTTGATACATGGTAACTATTTTATACGCTTATAAGGAGAGAAATGTTTGAGTTTTCCCTCTGATGATGAGACCACAATCATTTCTCTTTTATTTCACACATTGCAGGAGTTTTACACAGATAATCCAAAAACCTTTGAGGACTATGGACGCATCATTAACCAGCGGCACTTTAAGAGGGTCATGTCCCTCATGGAGGGGAGCACAGTCGCTGTTGGTGGAGACAGTGATGAGTCCCAGTGCTACATAGGTACGTGGTGTGTTTGAGCAGTTGGTCACTAAAAGAAATGTGTACATTATGTTTGTGTATGCAACTGTTACAGGCAATTACAATATCATTGAACACAAATACTTTATTTCTTGCCAGAATACTTACAACTGTCCAACCAAATAAATTCCCTATATCGTGTGTTCCACTGTATAAAGCATTATCATCTTGGCCTATACTCTCAGAATGAGCCCCTTCTTCTGTTTACTTGCAGGCCCCACTGTGTTAAAGGATGTGACGGGGGAATCCAAAGTGATGAAGGAGGAGATCTTCGGGCCTCTGCTGCCCATCATCACAGTGAGCGGTGTAGACGAGGCCATCCAGTTTATTAACGAGAGAGAAAAACCTCTGGTTGTGTACGTCTTCTCCAATGACAACAAGGTAAACAATCACCAGCAGACATGTTTGTTTCCCATTATTCAAGTGGCTTTGATTTTAAAATGCGGTGATGCTGATTAGATGTTCTGTTTGATTATCTCACCCTGTTCCTGTCTGGTAAACAGCTGATCAAAAGGGTGATAGCTGAGACGTCCAGTGGAGCTCTGCTGGCTAATGACTGTTTGGTACACTTCACTGTCAGCGCTCTGCCCTTCGGAGGAGTGGGTGAGTGTTCAACCGAACTGCAGCTATTAAGCCTGGAGGAATAACGTTGACACACATTCACAGCTGACTTATCCTCCCACCTCTTCCTTAGGTAACAGTGGTATGGGCTGCTACCACGGCCGGCACAGCTTTGACCAGCTCAGCCACCTGCGCAGCTGTCTGATCAAGCAGCTGAAGATGGAGGGAATAAACAGCATGCGTTACCCCCCTCACACCGCCAAAAAGCTGGGATGGGCTCGATTCTTTTTGCTCAAGCATGTCAACGTATGCAGGCTACGGCGCATGGCACTGCTGGCCATGTTCACTGGCTTGGCAGCATTTGTGGTGCAGGTAAAGGGAGTAAAATATAGCAGTCCAGTCCAAATTGGAATAAAAGGTTTTGTTTTGGTGTCAGGAATGCTTTATTTTACAGGTCTTTAGTTTCCTAGAAAGTTTCCTGGAAAGGACTATTCAATTTTGTACTAAAAAAGGGAGATATTTATGTGAGTTTAGTTAGTTGTGTTCAGTATATTTGCTGTTTTCCAGAGAAATTTCCTTGGAAGAACCACTGCATTTAAACCTAAGTAAATATTTATTCAATATTTGTCATTATTGGGCACTTTATGATCTGTATTTGCTTCCCTGCAGACTAATTTCACTTTCTTGCATGTTCAGATAAACTGCTGTGAAACGACTAAAAGATCTCTCTCTAGATTATTCTAGCATTTAAAGGTCCAGTGTGTAACATTTAGGAGGATCTATAGTATATATAGTATATACAGAAATGGAATATAATATTTAGCTGTATGTCAACATTCCTCTGAGGTGATTAGAGGGTTATTGAGATCACCTGTTACACAGCATCAGCAAGGATTGAGCTTGGTGCTGTCCCCTCTTGGCCAATCAGGGTGTGACAATGCCCATTCCTTATTGCATTCTGATCCTTTCTCAAGTTATTACAGACCTCACTTTATCAGATAGTGTCAGCGAGAAGTGTATTTGAGCATTTTGAAACTGAAACTTAGCAGTCAGGAACTGGTTCTCAGGCTTCTTCCCCATCAGCAGGGATCTGTAGAATCAGTACCGCCCCAACATTAAAGAGTGTACCAGTTGATGTTCCTCATAATTAGTCCCAAATGATGAATTTACAGATACAAACTAGTTCCTTTCCAGGAAATTATGAGCCGTAAGTGTCACCATTATTAATTTGTAGAAAAGTGCCACCTCCATTATTAGTGTAAGTCAGATTACTTTACCTTTAATTCTGTTCCCATATGATTTTTGAACAAGCCTCTCACACAGCTGTCCAAGAAACGAGACAAACAACAGCAACAGTACCATAAAGCCTTGTTGACAACATTGCCAGTGGCAGCTGAGGCTAGTAACACTACTGTTGCCTTAATGGCCACCATGCAATTACCTGTATTAAAGCATAAATCTGGCATTATTCTGAATCTCAATCAATTAATAAATCCCATAAAAAGACTGTGACCAGCAGTGTGTTTGTCAATCTCTCAATACCATGTCTGTCACTTTCAAATATATTGTGTTATTTGTTTAAAAGACTCAGTAATTTCCATCCAGTTATTAAGGTGATGTGTTTTTAATAGGTTCTGGACAAGAGTGGAGCTCTATGGCACAGAGGAATACGATATATCAGGCTTTGATACACATAATACTCGTTAGTAGCATCAATTCATTGTTGGTTTTGGTCTTTTCATGGGATTGGTTGACAATAAGAGAAATATAGAATGTGACCTGATTTATCCTTTAAGCTGTTCACATTCAAGGAGGATTATCTGCAGTGTTCTTGTGTGCTGGACCTGGTGCAACGTCTGTGTATTTCACTGCATTTCCACAGTTAGTAAGTCATTTAAGTTCCAAAACCAAGTCTGGTTGTTTCTGAGTCAAGACCAGGATCAGTTGGGACCAGTGTTCTTGTTTTAGAGCAAATGTTACTGCCACTGTTCTCACCGATGTGTGAACATGAACTGATGTGTCTTACAGTAAATTAATGAGAACAACATAATTCAGGTCAGTGCTGTGACCTTAATGGCACGATTGTTCTATATAATACTGTCAATTGTTCTATCTTTAAAATAAGGGTTTTCCAATTATTATATTTTTTGGGAAATGGGAAATGGTTTGGATGTGTGTTCCTGTTTGGTGGGATTAGACCCTGTTGTCCACCCCTGCCGTAGACCACATGAGCCATTAAACGTCATGAATGGCTTGTCTTACGGAACAGGTTTATCTGTAAGCAGGGTGTGAACTACAGGGGAGCCAGGGGGAGCTGGGCTCCTCTTAATGAGACATGAGCTCCCCTGAAAACATGATTTGTGAAATTGTGGGTGGTCTGACAATATGCTATTTTTGCCATGCCTGTCTATTTTTCTATATATTCATCATGAAATATGCGTAAATTTAGGCTACTACTGATGATGATTTTTGCATGAGGGTGATTCATTGCTAATTCACATTAATAAAGACACTGATATTCTGGCCATCACCATGCAAGCGTGGCAGCACGATATCATTAAAAATAAATATTAGAAAATATACAATAAACTTTCCTAGTCCTACCCAGTCTCTGTTTTATAGTCCGCATACTGTGCGTCACGGTCAGTCCACCCCCATGCTAATTCTAGGTAATAATTGACACACTTTGTTGTCCCATTGTCTCTCCCAAGGTTATTCAGCTATAAATTATTACTGAATAAAGCCTTTATTACTAATAATCAGTACTGGTGTGTCAACAGGATGGCTGAAGGGACAATATTCACCTAAACAGCAGGAAGCATTTATGTTTTACGCAACAGTTACGTCTTACATAACAATCGAAGAGTGTTTTTTGACAGTGGAGTGTTTGTGCGCTGACTGTTTACAGCCTTTTAAATAATGATAAATACAGTTTCCCAAGATAACCAGATATGAGTACCCCTCCCCCCCACATACCCACAGTCCTACAGGCCTGTACCCTCATACAACAATGGCTTTGTCTCCGGTAGACAATGCGCAGTGTTGTCCAGGAAATCTAACCGCACAATGCCCCCTCATCTACCCTCCTTTTAATTACCCAGCATGCATCACTCCCCTCTGCTAAATGCCCCCTTTTGTTTTGGTCCACCCCACCACCTTTGTTGACATCCACACTCTGCGAACAGTTAAACTATCTGTTACCTCTAGTATTTCAAACAGTTTGGATCCCGTCTCTTCACACTGACTTTGTGTTTTCTTGCAGAGATTCCTGCGCTGAGGCTGAGGAGCACAGACTGGTGGCCTGAGTTCAACCCTGCGTAAGGTGCAGGTGGACTCCTGGCCTACAGCACTCCTCATTCACTGGTCCATTTCATTTCTCACTCATGTAGGCATATTTGACTGATTTGTGATCTTTATAAATATGTGTTTTTCACAATAGACCCTTTTCACTGCAGCCATTTTGAGATGAAATAGTAGGGTAAACACATGTGTTACCAGTGATACCAGTTTAGGTTGGGCTCCATTTATTGTGGCAGAGTCTTTCTGGTGAGCCAACATGCACAATAACAGCACCCTGGCTTTGTTTGACCATCATTGATAACACCTGTGTTTACCCTACTGTTTCATGTCAAAATGGTTGCTGTGAAAAAGGTCTGTTACTTTCTGCTACACTCTAAGCTGCTATTGTAGTATTTATGGCTTTACATTATTTATCTAGCAATATAATGTGTAGTATTTTAATTTAACCTGGTAAATTGAGATTTTAATGATAGATTTTTAATTAACGGATCATTCCATCACTGCTAATGAAGCTAGGTAGCAGTGATGCAGTGATTCACTCACATACAATATCAACACACACACAAATGACTAACATGGCATGTCTGCTTTGAATAGTGCCAGTTTTGTGGTTTGTGGCAATTAAACAACAATATGATCCATTGTTTTGCTGTTGACTTTTTGTTTTTCACTTTGAACAAAATGAGTATCTTTACAGTCAGTGGCGTATTTATTATTAACAAGATCCCAAGGTTTTTGTAATTTATGACATAGCTACTATAAGCTGTTATTAGGATACATTGACCTCCATGATGACTGAGTAAAAAATTAGCTCAACTCAAGGCTGTAAAAGAAGGAACACTAGTGACAGGCTTTTGTACAAGGTAAGGTATGATTATTACATTAAAAGTAGTGCATTGAATGAAAGTGTGTGTGTGTGTGTGCGTGCGTGTGTGTGTGTGGGTGGGGGTTTCTGATGTTATCAAGGGTCTGTGTGTTTGAGGCGGTCAGATGGAGCTGGTGGTCACAGTGAGCAGCTTCCCGGTAAACTGATCCTGGAGCAGCCTAACTTGTGAACAGTGTACAATGAGAGTCAGTCAGTCAGTGAGTGCGGCTGCAGCGACATCTGAACCGCTTTCAGATCAGATCAGTGGTGGAGTGTTGAAGTCATATTTTTAATATAGTCCACTGGATGTGTGTTTGAGTTGATCCTATAGGTAAGTCTACATACTCTTCTTTCTTTTTTTCAGAATGAAAACATTAAAGTGATAATGTGATCACATGATATTCGATGTAGCCCTGTGTAGACCGGAGTTGTAAAAACAAAGCAGCACTGCGGTGAGTTATTTATTATGCACGAAATTCACTTATCGTGACTGCGCAGACATTATGAAGTAAGAATTCATATCGAACAGTGGAACTTTTTAAAGCTCAACACCGACATCCAGGAGGGATGAAGAGTTCTGACTGCACATCATATCAAATACTAAAACCACCATTCAACCAGAAAGACTTAACAAGGTGTTTAAACATAAACACTGTAGGAAAGTCATTGTAGACTGCAAGAGCCTTAAATAGAAAATAATAGTTACATTTATAGCCTTTTCATAGACCTAATAGCTTTTGCTTTCTAAAGACTTGACAAAATAAGAGGATTTTTGATAAGGAGCATGAATATTATAAATACAAAAGCCATATTTGCATTCAATAAAAAGCAAAATGGTATTTTGATGTTAAAAAGTCTAGCACTTAACATTAGGTCGGACTAAGGAGAAAAAGAAAAAAATCTAGATTAAATAGGAAATAACATATTATTCTTACTGTTTAATGTGACTTTTACCACATCCAGTTAACTCTTCTCTTTAGCTGTTTTCATATTTGTTTTGCACATTATAGCAGTTGATCAGCTGCTTTGTAGGAAATATTTAGTGTTGTCTCATAGCTAGTATTTTGTGAACTGTCACTTGTGTTATCTTTTGGCATTGCTATTTATGAGCTTGAATAAGACATTGCATTTATGTTCTCCTGGGCATTTTTATAGATGACTTGCTGTGTGACATTTATAGTTTATTAGATAGACATATGTTTAGAGAGGAAGGGGGTCATAAGATAGAAGTTATACCAGGACATTTTGACGGTAAATAGTTAAAGAGCCCCCTCCAGGACATGCTTTAATATGCAAATAGTCTGCTTGGAACAATAATGTGTGTCTGGTATACGATCTGATAATTTCCACATTAAAACCCTTTAAAAGTAATCGCCTCCTTCTACCTCAAATCCCAGAATCTCTGAATATGCAAATGTTGTTTATTTCTAAAGTTTTCCTGCTGGACACAAGATGTCTCCTCCTTCACTGTAAAGTCCAATCTCAGTGGATTGTGCACTGGGGTTGGGCTTCAAGTTTCTACTCACACATGCTACAGTCTGGTATAATGGACAGGACTGACTTCCTAACTATTTTATGATGTCACAAATCATGCTGGTAGGCCCCGCCCCTTAAAATCAGATTTTCAATGAGCACAGAGAAACTTTCCACTTTCAGCAGATGAATGTGAAAACATCCTTCTAGTATCAAACTCTGCACAGACATCATTCAAACAGCACACTGTAGGAACAAAGAGAAAAGCTGGATGGGGGCTTTAAATATGAGCAGAGCATGACTGCATGACGCTGGCTTGTCACTGTTGTTACTGTACATTCCTAACAGACAGGCCTGCTGCCTTCTGTGTGTGTGTACAGTTCCAGAAGAAGCTCCTTGCCGTCCTCAAGAAGTCTGAATGGAGAGGCAGGCGCTGCAGCGGGCCAAGGAGGCCTTCCTGAGTGGCAGGACCCGGCCTGTGGAGTTCAGACTGCAGCAGCTCCATGCCCTGCAGAGGATGATCACTGAGAAAGAGACCGAGATCTCCACTGCTCTCAAACAGGACATCAACAGGGTGAGTGGAAACAGACACAGCACACTGCTGCATGTGTCATATACTGTATGTCTGTGTATGTTGAGTATGTTGTGTTTCCCACAGAGCCAGTATGACACACCGCTCCTGGAGCTGATTGGCATTGAAAATGAGATAAAGCTGGCTATAGAGAAGCTGGCAGAGTGGGCGGCTCCTCGGCCAGTGGAGAAGAACCTCCTCACCATATCAGATGAGGTTTATATCCAGCCAGAGCCCCTGGGAGTGGTTCTCATCATAGGGGCCTGGAACTACCCCTGGGCCCTCACCCTCCTGCCCCTGGTTGGAGCTATCGCTGCTGGTAGGGAACCTTTCTGTCTCCAGTCCCTCAGCACCTCCTTAGAACCCCTCCATTCATTGCTGATTAGATCTCTGCTCAGGTTGGAGATGGGTGGAGCAGCTATACTGGGGATTAAGTGAAGTCACCAAAGTCCAGGCCGAAATAAAATGATAAAGGTGTAATTGTCACATGTTAACCTGTGCAATATAAAAAGGGACTGTACATAAATTATTAGAGGGAGGTCAGGGAGGGACAGGGTTATTTGGTTTTAATACCTCTTGCTTCATAACTTTCTTCTGCATTATAACAAAAGGGGAAACAATTCAGTCTAGTTTAGAATTCATGTTTAGCCTTTTGTTGGTTTTGTGTAAATTAGAAACATTTCACTTCTGTTTACACAAATTAAGCCATCTTGAATTATTCATGCCTAATTTTCATGCCTCATGCCTTTTTTGTTATAATAGTGGAAAACCAGCACTAGATTTTGCTATATTAGGGGGAGGGAAGTCAAAGGTAGGGTCCAAATAAAATATACTTGCAATTTCAAAAACTCCAGTCATTTTCCTGTAGTCCCTAACAGGAGAGTGATAGAGAAATCATCCAATCACAGTCTGCAAACACCCACACAGCCCTGAAAAGAGGTCTCAGACAGGAACAACTAATCCGTGAGTGTGTCAGGCTTTACATTCTAGTGGAGACCCCACAGCTTCCTATTATATCAAATATGTCGGGTTAAATAGGAGGTAGTGTGTACACAAAGATTCAAAAGACACTGAGAATACTTTCATTTGATGAAATGGTGCAAGAATAATAATAGTTTGGCTCAAATGTTTCACTCTATGTAGCATCTTGAAGCTTCAATTAAGTATTAGAACAAGCAGGCAGAGAATACTGTGTATAGTGTGAAAAACAGCAATTACTTTTCCCTGGAGTTGGTGGAGACTATAGCAGAGCTAAAATAGAGTGATTCATCAAGTTCTTTATTGTTATCTGCACAACAACAAAGCAGTCACTGTAAATTAAATTCCTAATTCTCAGACTCCCTCCAACAATGCTCAAACATGTATGCAAAGAAAATCACACAAGTAAAAACTAACATATAAGACATAAGATAAAGGAAAAGTATAGAAATATAGTATAATATTTATCAAATAAAATCTCTTTCTAAAAATATTGTTGTTTTTTACAGTTTAGCCTGGGCAGTATTTCATTTACCTTCACCTAAACTTCACATACATTGTTTAATATGTTATTTTATTCTCGAATAAGACACATTTTTATTCTTTACACTAAACTGTAGAAATAAACTGTGCAACAGTTAGCCCAATCACACTCAAAATGAGTGAGTGAATAACCCTAACCCTTCACTCACTCAGTCAGTGGTCGATTTGACTGACAGAAACCACCCAGCATGCAGCTCTGAACTAGTAGCCTCCCACCACTTTGTTATCCTGATCAGCTGCTTCAGATCTATGATGTGGGAAACTAGCAGAGCTCATCTTTTCAAAATATGGGGGTTATGTTCAGACACATATTGATATTACTTGTATTTTAATTCATTTTCTCATACCAGTATTTTATGTCAACACATTTGAAGAAGTAAAACAATTTTGCCTCAAATTGTTGATTTAGGGTTTTGATCCTTGACAGCTTTTAGCCCTTTTCACTCTTTTCTTGGTAAATAATGTAATACCAAAATAATACCCCATGTTGGTCAAACTTGTATTTTGCAGCCCAAGTCTGATAAAAACTGAGAGAGAAATATCCCAGAGTGAACTTGACAGCATCCCCTGCTCTGCATTCTCATCCTCCTACTTGTCTGCTCTCCGTCACTCAGTGATCTCACTTCATTCACAGAAACCTGTGTTCTCTCTCCGCAGGCAACGCAGCTGTGGTGAAACCGTCCGAGCTCAGCGAGTACTCGTCCCTCCTCCTCCGGGCTCTGCTGCCTCGCTATCTGGACAAGGTCTGAACAACAGCTGCTATTGTTGATGGCTGCAGTAACGTCAAAGCCTTGTGCCAGCACAGTACAATACATCACAGATATGTTATATGAGGGGACTCCCTCCATCAGCGGTGACTCATTCTAAGTTCTAATGTCATCTTGAATGAGTCAGGAACTTGTCAGGCATTTTCAGACTGCTTGATATTTTTCATAAGTGCGTAGCTGACATTATAAAATCATTTACTGTTTATTTCCAGGAGCTGTACCCAGTAGTGACAGGCGGAGTGTCAGAGACCCAGGAGCTCCTGAAGCTCAGATTTGATCATGTCTTCTACACGGGCGGCAGCACAGTGGGCAAACTGGTGATGGAAGCTGCAGCTCGCCATCTCACCCCAGTGACCCTGGAGCTGGGAGGGAAGAGCCCCTGCTACATCGACAAAGACTGTGACGTCAGAATCGCCTGCCGGTAACATGTCACTCATCAGAGTAGCCCATATCACCAGCAGTCATACACAGCGAAGTAAACTGTCACATGCTATCAGTGGTGTAGTGGTGCCAGGAGAAGTGGGTATACTTAATTTATGCCCTAGTTTTTTTTCTAAAGCGGTCATCCAGCAAAGGATAAACATCCTGTGTTATAAACAGTGACATGTGAGACTACTCTTGCATATTTAGCTCAACCAAAATAGGCCAGTATTTGCTTATTAGCTTAACTTCAGGCGGGGAAGGATCATTATGAAATTAGCATTAGCCCTGAATGATGGGCATCAGAAAAACTGAAAAATAACTGGGTATACTCTGCATAACTGCGTATATCATGCACTACCCCACTGCATGTTATCAATTGTTTCAGCACATTTTGGCTCATGATTTATGCTAAGAATACAGCATTGTGTACTTGATGGCTTTGGTGGCCTGTGTAGGTTGACCACTTTAGCCACAGAGGGGACACAGAGGCGATTTTGGTATCAATAGTTCTAAGCGCCTAAAGGACCATGATGTGTTTTTTTTTGCATATTTCAGTCAAATACTATACTTGACTTTACATCACTCAATTTTCCAAAGTATACAATAGACAGAAAGATTAATTTCCTACCTTATTGGCAGGCATCTGTCTCCATTTCTTTCAGTATCGCATAACAAATAGTGATGTCGAACGTACAATGCTTACTGCTCATGAAAGACATGAATCCTAGACTTTTCCCACTCATAAGCCACATGTCCACCGCATGGTACGGCTCACCTCTACTCTCCTACCTAGTACCTGGAACCTGGAACTTTTTTTTGATACCACTACCATCAGCTGATACTAAAAGGTGACGTTAAACATTGCAGACCACTGATTGGCTGATTGGCAACCCACAAAACCACACCGTAGTCATTTGACGAAGTGCAGACGTATCCAGAACACCTTCCTTCGGAGCCTTTCATATCCTTCTTTGTAAGAGTGGCAGCTCCTTTTTGTGTGTGTAGTTACTATGTGGATAAGTAAAAGAGAGAGAGAGTGGTGCAGAGGTAAACAGATCAGTGAAGTTAGGCTGTGTTGATCTGACAGTCAGCTCTGCCTACATCGAGGGGGTACTATTCAATGTATCTGCAATGGAATAGATACCCAAAGCGAGTAGAGTAGAGACAAGTCAAGCTTTACCATGTAGCGGAAACACTGCTGTTATCATAGGGTACTGATAATGCTGCCTGCTACGGTTGTGCAGTCGCTCAAAGGCATAGAAAGTGGGACAATCACTGAATGAGTGGGAAACACTGTCTTGAATGAGGATGTCAGTGAGTACCTTGAGTTGAGTCCAGCACTCAGTCCAGAGCCTGGCAGCTCCACTCACCCACACTGAATGAGACCGAATGAACCGCTCACTGGAACTGGCAGTGGGACGTCTGCTACTCGCCCAGGAAGAGTGATAAATTGATGCAGTCAAATTATATTTGTGTAACATGGTGTGTTACACATACAAGTGGGATGCTTAATCAATGCATTAAATACAATGAATATTTTATCTTTATTATGTAAACTTGTACATGATTACTGGGAGCAGGGAGTGCTAGCTGTCGTAGATTAACTGACACCACATTTTGAAAAAGTCAAAAAGTTTGATTCATTGACATGTATCAACTTGGAGGAACAAATTGGTTCTGCCTATCACTAGTGACAGAGACATGAAACCTGCTTAAGAATTTGTCACACTGAATAATAGTTAATAATAATAATAATCAACTCCTACATCTAAAATTAGAAGAAATATCTTAAAAAAATAAAAAATAAAAAATAAACATGTTATATCACACAATCCTCTTCATCAAATTCCTCTTCTGATTTTTATTGTATTTGCAATGATTTTTGGGGACCAAATAACAAGAGTTCAGAGTGTCTTGGAATGCAACACCAAGAACAGCTCTACTGTATCTCAAGACATTTCAAGCCTCTCCAGGTTATTTATATCACATGAAAACAAATGGCTGCAAGATAGAAAATAAACTGTAAAACTTACATAGTGGTCTGGAAAAGGGTTGAAAACAGTTCCTGTGACTCTTCAGTTGTCACTATTGATTGAAGGTAATAAAAGCTTGAAATTGGTATAGTCTTTTGGTAGAGCTACACATGCATACATGTACCTGAATGTGACTTCCTCAAAAGCTTTAAAACACTGAAATACCTGATCTGTGTGCAGTCGTATCACGTGGGGAAAGTTCGTCAACTGCGGCCAGACGTGCATCGCTCCAGACTACATCCTGTGTGAGCCCTGCATCCAGGGCCGAGTGGTGGAATGCATCCGACAAACTCTACTGGTACCGTCATTTAAACCCTAACCCTAGCTAACATCCTAATGTAAATGAGAGAGCACAGTCTGGAGGTTCATCCCAACCTTTTTCATCCGTCCCAGGAATTTTATGGCGCCGATCCCAAATGCTCGCCAGACTACGGCCGAATCATCAACCAGCGTCACTTTAGCAGAGTCATGGGTCTGATGGAGGGGTACACTCCTGTGGTGGGTGGACAGAGTGACGCCTCGCAGCGCTATATTGGTAGGAATATACAGTGGTAGTAAACAGAGGTGTGGACTGGAGTCAAACTCGAGTCACAAATTTGATGACTTTAGACTAATGTTATGTTTGTCGGTCATACATTTGGTGAAGAGCACATTATGACTTGTTTAGGACTCAAAACTCTTGACTTGGGACTTGTTAGTCTTGACTTGACTGCAAAGACTTGAGACTTTGAGCTGACTTGTCCCCATCTCTGTGGATACGTCGGAGCATTATGTTGATTGTGCTGTTGTTTAATAAACGTTGATGTCGTACATGCAGCCCCAACAGTGCTGAAGGACGTGCCCCCTCACTCCAGGCTGATGCAGGAGGAGATCTTCGGCCCCCTGCTGCCCATCGTGACCGTTAGTGACATGGACGATGCCATCCGCTTCATCAACGAGAGAGAGAAACCTCTGGCCCTCTATATCTTCTGCTCTGATAAAAAGGTGAAGGGAAACAACAGGAGATTCAAACCATGTTTTAATGCTTTAAAGTAACTCTTCTTATCTTCCTTCTCCCCCTTCTGTCTCTTTCAGGCAGTAAAAAGGATGATTGAGGAGACCTCGAGTGGAGGAGTGACGGTCAATGACGTTATGATGCACTACACACTTAGCTCACTCCCGTTTGGTGGTGTTGGTAAGAACCATCACAGAGCTTTTAATACATTATTGTGTGTATGTTGACTTAGGTGGACTTCATCATGGGGGCATGGTCAGATTAACCTGTTAAAGGGCCCTCAGGGTAAACTTTATTTGTTGGGCCCATGTTTCCCCTCTAGTACTTTTATCCTGATTAGACCAAAGAGGTGCACTCTGAACAAGGTGACATTAAAGGTCCATCCACCACTTTTTACACATCTTCACACACACACAATTTCACAATAGGACCTGAAAGGTCAGTTCTCAGGAAATTAATCAACAGCCCTTTTGATAATCATTACAACGTTTAAGTCATTTATCAATTAAAAATGCAGACATTTGGTGGTTCCAGCTTAAAAAAGAATTGACTGATAATAGCAATTAGTTGCAGCCCCATTGAATAAAAAAAATGAAAAACACACTAATAAATGTGTACAAAGGTGATAAATTATGACACTTTGTCTCCATCACTTGGTAATGCTGAAACAGCCAACTGGCTGCAAAAAGCCCCAAAAATGGAAAACAATATTGGCTGTGAACGAGACTGATGATATAGCGTGATATAAACATTGAATAGATCCAGTGTGATTTCACCCTGTGGTTTGTGGAGAACCGTTCTGAAGCCTAAAGTTTGGTATTAAAGTCAAATCACCAGGCCAACAGTGCAGTTAGCTTTGATAAGGACTGTAGTACAGAGGACCTGCTTTAGAGTCCAGATGAAACTCCTGCTGTCAAGTTGGGTCACAAATCCTCTTTCTTCTCCCTTTGCTGTCTTTTGGCATGAAGCAACATACACTGCTTTGGGCTGGTAGTGTGTGTGAAGACACCCACCTCATCTTCACACAGTAACCTCATATTGTAGTTTTTAATTTAAAAAGAGATGACTGTAGACTTGTTTGTGACCCCTCCAGGTCAGAGTGGTATGGGCCACTACCATGGGAAACACACTTTTGACCAGCTGAGCCACCAGAGGGCGTGTCTGGTCCGCTCTTTGGGCATGGAGCGTGTCAACCTTGCCCGATACCCTCCACAGGACCGCCGCCGGGCTCGCAGGGCACGTATGGCTCTCAAGTCACCACTCATTGACACGTCCAAGAGGACATTCATCTGGGCCGTCGCTGCCACTGTCATTGGCTTCGGGCTGTTTGTCACCCTGCTGGTCATCCTGCTCATAGCTTCAGGCCTCAACTGCACCTGCTGGTACTGGAGAGGCTTTTATAACTAGAGACACTGCAGGTTCTAAAAAGTGCCTGCTGTTAAGAACACACCTGAGCACACTTTGACTCCTGTTTTATATTCAGATATTTTACAGAAAATATGATAACCATTTGATCTAACTTGTATTTGCTGTGTGTCTATTTTGTATCAGATGTCCCTCAGCGACGAGACAAACAAGGTTAAACACTAACCAAACACACACCGGAGTGCTGTCCTGCGTTCTTCATTATTGAAGGTTAACATTCACTATCTGAGAAAATATCAGTGTAAATACAAATTTGATGATGAACTGAAAACCCAGTGTTCCACAGATACAACATGTGTGTATTTTGCTAGAGTTTTTCCAGAATAAAAAAATTGATGTATTGTCATCTTCTATTTTTATGTTTCGCCATTTATAATTTTTAAGCTGTACTTCACTTCTAGGGGATCACAAGCCAAAAAGGTTGGAAACCACTGGTTTAATCTAAAACAATGGGCCTATTGTAAGCGATATACAAACACATTTTTTCTTATTTTTGCTCTTCTCTTAGGTCAGAGAACATGTTACGAGTGGTTGAGAGCACTCTTACCAAGATAAGAACAAAACACTCAGTCTGCAGATTGTTTGCCCAACACAAAGAAAAATAGGTTTTAAATGCTGAAGTTAAGATATTTTTACCTATGCTACATATGCTAATAACATTATCCACAGACCTCCAATTTAAGTTCCAGTGGGATTCATCATTCAGCACACCTTGGAGCAGATTGGAGGGTTAAGAACATTTTGTGCATCTGGAGCTGACTTGCTGCATGAGGCCCAATTTTATAAGCTCATCAGATATTTTTATGTCAACATTTCTATGGTACACTGGTGTGAACGTTTAGCTGCGCACTTTTTTATGTGTTTCACCACACTGTGTGGCCCTCAGAATGGATTTCAGTCAGACATACAAACATCAGCTAGATATCGGTTTCTGATATTATGGAAGGCCTCTTGGGCTTAATGGAGAAAACAGCCTGTAAACAATGTAAATGTACCAGTGTTGTAAACAGATTCTTTATTAAAAAAGACTAAAACATGAAAAGAAAAAAGATTGATTAGACTTAAACTATGATGATTTTCAATTCAAAGTCACAGTGGTGTTGCATTAGATCTTTAGTCTACAGCTATAGTTAATAAGAGTTATAGAAGGAAAACTGATGATCTAGGTGGAGAAATTACAACAACGTCCAGGTAGTAATAAAGACTGACAAATCGCAAAACCTTTAACCTTCTGATGCTAAATGGTACAATATGATACACACACATACATAGTGCAAATGGTTCCCTATAGTTACATTATCACACTGTGTGTGGCCACCAGGTGGCATCAGAGAGCTAGAGAAGAGTGTTTAGGGACAGACTGAGGCAAGGAAGGAAGCCAATACAAGACATGTTTATTGGCTTTTCTATTAAGTTACAAAAAGAAATTTAAAAGAACATTCTCATCAACACTAAATTACACTGAAATTAAAAAAAACATTGTGTACAACTTGTTCTGTTACTATCATAGATCTACATCTGTGATAGTAAAAAGTCAAATTATCAACCACTGACTCACTATACAAACTATAGCCTCTGAAATAACAGTAATACCATATCATGACATGGATCTAGTTAGTCTCATTGTATTTTGTGTAAAGTGCCCTGTTGAGTCATTATATGAGCGCCCTATTAGCAACAGGCTCTCCCTGTTCCTCTAAGATGCTCTGCTAAGCTCTGAATTGACAGCTTTATTGCTTAATAGGTCTGTGGATATCCAGGCGTTTAGCTTGTAAAGCAGCAACAGGAAACAGCTGCCATCTGAGCACCCTGCTTCAGCTCTAACGGGCTCACTGTAGTTGCACTCTCGGAGGCCTAAATAACTGTTGCATAACCGTATCAGTATCAGAATGTTGACTCGACCTGGACTTTCAGTCTGTCAGAGACATCAGTCCAGGACTTCTGCAGGAAAACAATGGACTGCTCAGTCAGTAAAAAGTTATGCTGCCTGGTAGAACAAAGTGATATCACTATGGGTTGATAGGTTTCAACTCCGAGACCTGAAAAGGCTTATTGCTAAGCAAAAAAATGTCTCTCAAAGCAGTTATTTCATTCCAGTAATTTGCATGGGCACATTATTACCTCAGCGTCAGACATTTCTGACTGGATCTGCTCTAATTAACTAGCTGTGTGAACGGCACTTTATTTGTGTCAATTACAGGCCTCTGTAGCTCAAGGCAGATTGGCACTGGCAGTGCTGCTGCACTCCTACAGGCTGCTGAATATCAGGGAAATGTCATACTGTAGATCAGTGAACATCCCTTTAATGTACACTCTTGGGTCGGAGCAACCTGTGCTTTTAGGACAGCCTCAGCAGGTCATCGGAAGGAATGTACAGGAGAAACTATGGTGGCACGAAACTCACAAAAAATGCGAAAGGCCCTATCTACAGCCAGTTTTTGTTTGTCTTTTCTGGGCTACTGTAGAAACATGGCGGGTCAACATGGCGGGAAATTCTGTTACTGGTGTCAAAACTGAAATATCTGTAGCCGCAGTTGACAGGAAGCGCAGTTGTCACCGTTTTACTGCTGTGTGTTATCTTCCTGTTGTCCAGTTGGCTAGATTAATGTTGCTGTTATTTGAATACGTGTGTCTTTCCTGTTAGCTCTTGTATGTGCCTGGTCATTCATCCTAATGGTTAGTCAGCAGAAACCGTGCCAACTTACTCTATGTGCTTTATGTATTTTACTGTTGTTTGTATTAATAAGAGGGTGTGGTTGTTAAACGGGCCACTGAGTGTGAAAGAGTTTCAGGATGCTATAGCAGGTGCACAGCTTTATAATCTGGCTTCATACCTAGAGATACAGTTTCACTTCCCACCAAAACTAAAAATAGAAAGCTAATTGACGCTCTTTTGTGTTTGGTCTAGACTTTAGTGCTGAAATCAGATACTGAGTGTTTGAGGAGCGGGGCAGCTGATCTAAAAATGGACTGCTGCCATTAAAGTACAGTAAAACTCACTTTTATTAAAGTTCAGTTACGGGCCAATAAAAAAAGCTTTAGATCTGCTATTTGGACATTGCACTTGGCCATTTATTATGCAGCCCTAGTGGTCCAGTTTAATGTTTTAATTGATAGATGAACTTGGTTGATGCAGGACTTTCAGTTTGACGTCTACAATAGCAGGTCTGACAGGTCTCAAGCTTTCTGCCCCCCTGTTGTGACACGTTCCGTTTGCAGATGACTTATGCGCAGCAGGAGATATACTTCTGAAGACTGTATTGTAGTTTCAGGGCTTTGTTGCTGCTGGACTGTAAAGTTTACTTTAGCATAGATTTGCCCTCATTTGCCCTCTATGCATAAAAACACAGCCTGCCAAAGACCCTTCAGCCCAGCAGCTGCCTGACTGAACTCTGCTGGCAGAGAGCTTCGCACACACCACTTCTCAGTCACACTGCTGCTCTGAAAGGAAGGATATACACCACTTACACACATATTTCATTCAAAGCATTTGGCTTTAAGGTACTACATGTGAGGTACAGTATTTATCTTGTCTCCTGTCTCGTCTCCTTCCTGTTTTAGTGCTCACAGCTCATGAATAATACAATATTTTTGATTAGGAAGTGTGAAGGTGCAAACATATGTTTGCATACATTAATTGGTTTGGAAGTCACTCTGCTGTATGTTGGCTGGCGCCAGTGTTGTAGTTTAATTAGAGGGAGATTCCTTTTCCTTTTGTGCTTTGACTTTTTGGTCAAAGCACAATGCACAATCACTCCTGAGCTCCATTATTCACTCTGAACATTCTTTAAATGTGTTTATTTTACCAACAAATATGGTTGAAAGTGGAGAGGGGCCGATTTAGTTTGGTCACTGTCTGAAATGGCTTTTGCTGTCTACTTTCTTGTTGCCGTGGTGACCCTGATGCTCTCTGTTCATCAATAGGCTCAATGGCTCATTCAGGGACAGGCATGGCAAACCCCTGGGGCAGCGGTGTTAAATGTAGGCTACACACTGTAATGCAGCTGTTAGACAGATGTAATGTCAGAGTAAAGCTTGGTTCCCCCCATCCCGATGAAAAATTAAAAAAAGAAGCAGGTTTAGCATTTGAGCAGGTTAATATCCAGGTAGAAAGCAACGCAGAGCTGGGCAGACACACAATGATGGACAGATTGATATATGAATATGTAGCACATGCTTTAAAGCTACAGGTAAGAAAAAAAGCCACAAAAACACAATAATAATTAGTGTAATCAGTAATGTTAAATGCTCATATGAAATAAATATGAGTAAATTATATAATTAATAATTTGTAAAACTGTCAAATACTACATTTTATTTTATTAATTTATTATTATGTTGTCATTCTTCTTTTTAAAGTTACACTTTTATTGGAGTATATTATTATTAACAACAATTTCTATTTTAAAATGATTTTGTCATATGATTGGCTGAAAAGTGAGTGGGCAGGGATTGGTCTGTGTCTGTGATGCCATCAGATATAAAAGGGCATTTGAAAAAAGGCCTTTGTTTTGTAATGTCTCATTTATTCATAATATATTGATCATTTTGAAATTCCATATGGACAGCACTCATTGCTTATGCTCTAACGAAAAAGAAACTTTGGGTATAAAAGATACGATGTATGATAATGTTTAAAAAAAGTATTGACTCTTTTCCACCTTCACATAATACATTTCACCCTCCAGTAAATCGCAGCATCCTGCAATCCGTGAGTGACATGCATTTTTCATTACTTAGGTACTGTTGCTATGGTAACCACTCACACCCCCGACCTTGAGATGCGTCGTTATTTCAGGCGTCCTACGCAAACGTGCCATTTGCAAAGATAAATGAAGGAAACAAGAGAGCAACCTGCCTTACGCTCTGTACAGTGTGAACGGAGACACAGCAGCAGGATGGAGGACGTCCAAGGTCCAACCTGACATCAGTGGACATCATTATAATGAGGCTTAATGTCTGTTAGCCAACTTACATTCACTTGTTATTGTATCATTCTTTCCAAATTTTTGTCTTTTTCTAGTCACAGAAAGTCAAATAAAGTAATATTATTGAAACACATTCTAACTTTATTTGTTGGTATGATTTGCCTTATTGTTTACTATAATTCCTGAAGGAAATAGCTGAGAGTTTTACCAAATAAATAAGGGTTTGCATGAATGAATGTCTACTAAACAGCTGGACATATGCTGTGTAAATAACACTCAGTTTGCCCTCTAGATTCTTCCAAAGCACCTTTTGAAACAAATCTAACACTGTCTGCAATGTGTGGAGCACCTGTGGACTAACACTGGAGGATTGAGACTCCTACAGCGCACAGACTCACCAATTAGTGTGGGATGTGCAGCTGTGAGATCCACACGTGTGGAAAGGGATCCAGCTAATCAGGTAGAGGGAGGAGTCACTTCCTTTGTCTGTCTCAGTGGTCATGCTTAAGGAAGCTGCACAGAAACGGTCTGTTTGCAACGATGAGGTCCAAGCTGCTCTTTGTTATCAGCTTTATGCTTGCATGTGTCAGGCTTAGTGATGCTGGACTCAGTAGGAGAGTGACAACCTACTTGGGGCAGAAGCCTGCAGAGGTGGGAGCCGAGCCAGTGGCGGGACCTGAAAGAGAGCACTTCAGATGGTCTGCTCAACAAACTGGCAGGCTCCAGGCAAAGCAGCGCCAGCCAGTGGGCGGACCAATCCTCTGGAAGTATCCAGAAGATCCGGTGGACCTGGTGAAAAAGCCCCCTGTTGGGTTCAAGCTGCGGCAGCCGGTGATGACCTACTCAGTTGCCGTGAGGTGTGGGGAGAGTAGGATCCAGGTGGAAGTGAGCCAGGACCTGCTGGGCCTCGGCAAGCTGATAAAGCCTGAGGAAGTCACACTTGGTGGTTGTCCAGCC